GTTCTCAGAGCAAATTGATTATTTATATTACATATGCTGTATAAATATACTAGATCATTTTGAAGTCAGAGTTTTGAATTACATCCTGTCTAAAATTTAATACTTATAGTTGTACTATGCAATTTGTAATGCTGCAGAATGCTTTTTTAGAACTGTTTTCAAATTCTTGCCTTCCATCTCTGCCTTCATTTGGCAAGCGGACTGTAGATGCATTTCAACAGAAGCTATGGATACTAGCACTGCTCTGCTCAACCACTCAACTTGAGTGTATAAACTGCATCTCTTCACTTTTTTTTTTTTAAACATCTCACCAAAAGCTGAATGTAGAGAGACCGATGATATTAGTTTCTCTTTTAAAGTTGCTTATTCAATAGTTAAGAGAAAGCAGAAGAAGGTGGGAGGATACTCTGACCTTATATACATATTACTGTCATGCTAATAATCAATAGCAGGTAGTCATACAGAAGAAGATTGAGATTGTATTTTACATTTTTATCTAAGTGTAAATAAAAAGAGGGCAGAAAAGGTAAGATTAAAAAAAAATGTGTAAGCTTTTGCACTTTTCTCTTTATGTAGTTGCAAGTACGAATTTCTATTCCTGATTAACATCTTTACCAATGACCTGGAGGATGCAAAAGCGTATACATTCCTCAAGTTTGCTGATGACACCGAACTGGGAGGCAGGGCTGCCATTCAGAGGGGCCTAAACAGACAGGGCAGAGGGATGGGCCCTAATCTCATGAAATTCAACAAGGGCAAATGCAGAGTCCTGTACCTGGGAAGGAGGAACCCATGGCAACAGTACAGGCTGGGATGGACTGGCTGGGGAGCAGCTCTGCAGAAAGGGACCTGGGGGCCCTGGTGGGGCAGCAAGCTGAAGGTGAGCCAGCACAGGATTGCGGCAGAGAAGGCACACCACAGCAACCTGCGCATTACTAAAAGGAGCAGAGCCAGTAGACTGAGGGAAGTGATTATCCCCTTTACTTAGCATTTATTAGACCCCATCTAGAATACTGTTCTGCACCCTAGAATTCAACACCTGGAATTCAATGTCTTTAAAAGGAGTCTAAGTCTCCAAGTACAGAATTTATCTGGTTTAATGACAACATCAATTTTATTTTTCTTTTTAGGATACAGAGATAGCTGCAATATACGACATTATGTTTATAGGGTTTCATTATGCCCGTGTAAGGCACTCTCTCCCCTTGGCCCCACAGTTTTGTTTGGAGTTAATCTTCCATGCATTGATAGAATAATCTGAGAGATTTAATAAGGTAATAGGCAGAAGAATTATTACAGTGCTTGGTTGAATAATAGGTTTTGAACTTGGTTAAGTCAAAGGATACATAGAGAGAGCACATGCTTCAAATTGTTCAGCATCCCAATAGAACTTGAAGCTTGTCATGGATTGAAAACTGGCACACACTCCCCTGCTCAAACCCAAATGGTAAAACTACTGAAAGGATATATTTTGTTTGCATCCAGAAGCTGTATACTTTTCTTGGACATAATTGTCTTTGGTGTACTTAAAAAAAACAGTTAGTGGTATAGAAGTATAAGCAGTATTACTTCATGTATGAAAACTGTAGAGAACTCAACAGTATTTTTTGATTGCAACAGCATTATACTGCATAAATAGGGAATTCAGTGTGATATCACAGTAATCTCGGCCCTAAGACCAAAGTTATTGGAAAAGAAAAAAAAAAAAAACAAAAACCCACTATCAAATCAAGAAGTCTGTTTTCTGGAATGGAAGAAGACTAGGCCACGAAGTGTACAATTTCCCACTATACTTGAACTCCTGGGGCAGAATTTAAGTCCACAATAAATATTTATTTTAAAAGGAGTACTAAAGGTATTATGCTGTTACTCTAACTTCTATAATGCCACGCTCCTTTCCTAGGACTGGGGAACTTTTTCATCATTAGTAGTGATGTCTTTATATAAAAAGATTTATTTTTTGCTTTCAACAGATTTTGTTGCCTACCTTGCAAAAAGAAATGTAAATATTCCTGCTCAGTGATAATTCTGCTCCCACGTTCCTTAGCTTTTACTTTTCTAGTTTCTGACTCTTCAGAAACAAAAACTCCTTCCCAAAAACTTTTGCTTATAAAGATGCACCCACTATACACAACTTTTACCTGATACAACATGCTGTGTTTAAAAGCACAGTCAAAACATACTTACTTTATATTCTAAATAGATTGTTGTGAAGTAGGCTGTGTGTCTTTTTAAAATACTATTTGTATTACAAGAGATCTTTTAATCCTTTGCATTGTGTAATTCTACGGTTTAAAGTCTATACACAAGAGAGTCAAAGATAATACCAAAACAAGTAATTTATATGATACAGCAGTACTGTGTATTTTAGTAAAGATATGTTTTAGTAGAATGGTGTATTACTGGAGCAATAAGCTGCATGCTTCTCCTGATCTCTATCATCCATACATTTTTGTAGAAAGCAAAACAATTTAGAACCATGAATTGATTATTGAAAGTAATAGTACAGCTACAGTACTCTCCTCTCCCAGAGGGAAAGCTTTTTTCCATTTTAAAGGGGAAAAATTAAAAATACAAAACCAAGACTGACTGGGACTTGCAGCTCATTAAAGCTGGGGTGATTTCCACTATACAGGATTCTATTGATCTCCATAGTCCACAGTAGACAAAAAAGTGTGGTCAGGGAGGGGATGATGGATGCCTCTGCCAATAGCACTGAACAAACCTGTTAGCTAATTGCTACCAAAGACAATTATCCCCGCATTGTTTCATAATGGAAACACATTACAAAACTCTAATATACACACAGGGAAATTTGATGATTTGACTGCGGAGCCATGTGCATTGAATTTCATTGCCAAAGGCCAGCCAGGTCGCTGCTGTGAG